CATTATTTAAAACATTATATAGATTATATAAACAGTAAAATATTAATAATAATTGTGTTAATATTATTATTAATAGTTTTAATGATTTCTACATCATCTGTCCTTTTTTCTGCTCAGTTGTCAACATGTACAGTAATGGGAAATCCAGAGTCTTGACCGTTTAGCGTTAGCCGTTAGCTTCACCAGCCGATCACATGGTCAGGTGGTTTCTGAGCTCCAGCTGTTCTATAGAACCTCCTTGACMAGAACACACCCAGGACTGTTATTATAGAAGACCTCAGAGCAGAACCTGGACTGAAGCTAATAAGACCAGCTTCCTGGTTGGATGGTTACAGGTTTTAGGGTCTCCCCCCTTCCCCGGTGATTTTGAAGCAATCTTTTTAGGTTTCCGTGAGAAATAAACAACCTGTTTAAAGCTGTGATTAGTCAACATCAGTGTAGAAATGCAGGAAGTGAAGTGTTGTCACTTTTCTTGCCTTTACATCACGTAACCTCAGGGTTACATCCCTGACTTCCTGCTTTCTGAAGGAAACATCAGACAGATTTGTAGTTTCAYYACATTTTATCCTGAGGAAGATCTTATAGCATTAAATAATGACATTGTGCTCCTCACTGATTATAGCCTTAAATGAGTGACAGATCAGTCTGAATGAGTTCACAGATTTGGACCCTGACAGCWGCAGACTGTTCTGGCCCATATAGAAGAATCACTGATGGTTCTGACTGGACTCTTTTTGTAAACCTACATCCAGCCTGCTCACATGTTCCAGAGGACAGCAGTGTTAGTGGAGCATAATACTCTACAAACAGAAAATTTTATGTTGGCTCTCAAAGTGGCTCTTTTTTTAACACAAGTTTGGCTTTTTTTTAGTAAGAACCTGAGAGTTTGACTTGTTTTATCTTGTACAAAAAGAACTTATGACTTTACCCTTCATCTACACAAACAGGTCAATGTTTTTCAGCCTAATAATAAGAACAACTTACCACTGCATCTGTGTTCTTTCCCTGTGGAGAGAAGAGATTTTACTTTGAGTTTATTAAATCTTATAAAAGCAATGTCAGTGTTTACCCTAGGAAATTGGTCTTGGCGGGGC